CATATGTGCTTTGAGTTTTTAACCCCTAATTTGTCCAACTACACCAAAAATAGTCTTATCGTAAGCCACATACAGCAAGCATTTACTGCACACCTACTGTGTGCCAGGTTAGATTTCAGACGTGCCCAGAACAAGCTGCAAGTTCTGCCCTCCATGAGTTCATGGTTTAACCCGACAAATGAGGTCTTGCAAGTTCAAAGTCCTTCTTACCATGCAGAATCAGAAGACACCCAAAGATTCCTAGGGTTCTTTCTCAATCCATCAAGCTTATAATCCACAGAGCAGGTAGCAGTATAGCTGTAAAGTTCTTCAGGAAATTGTTAGTGAGATTCTGATTTCCAAGTAGAAGCAGAAGACCCTGGGGATGCCCACCTTCCCCTTAAGCAGAGGAGCCCAAAGAGGAACCCACTCTCCTTGGTTGCCCCTCTTGCTATCCCTTAAAATCTAGGGGTCAGGTGGGGATATCTATATTCAAGCAGACCAGAGCTCAAAGCTATGTGAGGCATAAAGCACTTTTTATTCATGGGCTTACAGAATGTCTATCGAATTAAGAGGCATATCACTTGTTAATTCTATTTACCAAAAAGAGCTAAATATACACCCAGCCGGAAATGCATCTGCTGCGGTCTGTACATGACAGAACCTGCTTCCACGTTCACGTAAACTATTCCTATTTGACAAGTTATGCATTTAAAATACATTAAAAAATGGTACCAAATGGCATACTGGCCTGTTTTGCCCCAATTCTTATACATTCCTGATAGTCGAAGGGAGTGATAGGGAATGTATCGTTTCCTACTAGGAAAAAAGGATTATTTCGATACAAGCAATGGGACATAGGAGGGTCAGAGCTCCCTGGTTTAGGTCTCAGTAGCTTTGCAGTATAATTCTTATTGGCCTGGCATGACAACTGGTTCCTCTCATTAATAACTGGGATGCTGTTAATCTGCCTGGTCATTCTGCCTCCTGCTTGCCTGGCTTAGGCAAAGGAAATCATTACCACTTTTTCTTTTCTTCCAATTCCTTTCTGCTTTCCCAAAAGGAGTTTCTTCTAGAGCCATCTGTCCTGCTTTTCTGCCCATTTTCTTTCCCCCTGGCCCCCCAAATCTTTCCCACTGCCTCAGCAACGAGATGATTGTATTTCACTCCGGGAAGCTACGGAACAGAATCTTTGGCCACTGCCTAATGAAAGAACTTTGTCTCGCAGCTGCAAAGGAGGGGCTGATACCTCTGCAGAAGACTCGGGAAGCCAGCTAAAGAGATTTTTCTTTCCGCGACATGCAAATAGACTCCCCTCCTGCGGATCACCATCTCTCTCTCATTATACCCCGGGCCGGAGAGAAATTTCCATCCTGAGTGCTCCTGGCAGCCAAACCTCTGGCATCCCACGCTGATTTTCTTTCCTAAAACTACGCAGTTCTCACTTCACAGGGGGAACAAAATGCAAGACTGCCATTTCTGGTGTGCTCCCCAAAGGCCGAGGACGGCCGGGAGCAATTCATCATCCCGCGTGCATTTGGGTTTTTAATTTTTCCTTCACAGAACTCTTCTTGTTCATCTGTTGGACACGGCGACACGAACCAGATGCGTCTCAACCTTAGCATCCTTCCTGTGGCTTTGTGGGAGGGAGAAATGATCGTGCCAACTAGAAATCCTCTCCAGAATAACAGAAAACTATCTGACATTTCTGGAAGACTTTCAAAAGTGGAGGCCTGCCTGTAATAGCTCTTCCATAATGTTTGTTAATGATGAACTGAACCGGTTGATTGAATGGTGTCTATTCAGCATGAGTTTCCTTCTGGCTATGCGTATTTTCTCATGCTTTTTACTTGAGTTTAAGCTGCTGCTATATTCGAAATCATGATAAAAATGAAGGTCTTTCGGCTCGGCGCCTATAGCTCAACCGGCTAAGGCGCCAGCCACATACACCTAAGGTGGCGGGTTC